AGCACCATTGCGGACAGTATTCTTCAGGGCTAGTAGAGTGGGCCCTAGACCTCTGTGGCGTCATGTATTACTCTCAACCTAGAGAAATTTGTGTTCGCCCGGAACAGTTGATGTTCGCGGGCCTTCGAGTTCGCCTGATTCAGTCCGACCCTTGCAGCACGTTACCTCCAAGCCATCCTGGAGTTTCATGCCGCGCACAATTTACGATGTGGCGGGCCTGGTTCAGTGCGTCAACCAGCCGTCAGCTATGCTGTTCAGCCTGACGCGACAAGCATGCAACCATTCCGTGAACTCCTCATAGCCTCACGCCATTTCATGGGACAAAGCACTGACATGATTTTGTTCGAGGAGTTCTAATTTCTGTCATTGTAAGCGAGATTCACGAGGGATGCTTGAGGATCTTGACTAAGGAGAAGCCCACCTGCTTGCGCAACTCGACTGAGCTCGGAGGCAGGCCATCAGGATTCTGGCTATTTCAAAGCAATCGTGAATTGGTCCAGGTAGAACGTAGCTCTTTCTGCTGCAGGCGACGGCCTGTAAAAACGACCCTCATCCGGAGCCGGCTTCACACATCCTCCCGATGTCTAGGGTACGCGCAGTCGAAGGGAAGCTCTGCCAGCTGGCTGAATTTGCACTGGACAAGGCAGCGCTTTTTATGTGCTAGGCTGCAGGCAAGCTGATAATTGCATGTTGACTACAAGCACTCCCTCAAATCTTTTGCCGCTGATGCGCCTCACTTGAAAGAATTCCCAATGCCAAGAGCTTATGTGACACCTGAAGGCAGAAAGACATTGAGATACAAGCTTCCGAATGGTCCACATACGGTGTCAAAAACAGAGCGGCGGCGATCGGTCGTCAAGTGCTTACCCAGTGGCCTCAGAATGACTAATAAGTTTGCAATGAGCGATGACATTGCAGCCTGTCGCATGCCGCACTGGCCTGCGCACCCCTACATCCAGCCTCATTTCTTGGCTCACATCCGCGGAGTGCCTAGAAGGCCGACCAACCCCGGATGACCCTCGATGTCAGTCTACGACAGTCGCGTTGGACGCACTGCCCACTGTAAGTAGCTGTGACATGGGCGACGGCTCAAGAGGCGACAGCGAGTGATCTGTAAGCCAATGAATGAGCTTTTGGTGATTTGGTTGCAGCATGGCTGGCTGCGCTTCCGCCATGAGCTGCCGAAACAGCTGCCAGGCAGTATCCATCATGTTCGAGATGACCATCTATCATATAGATGAGTGTTTCTCCTACAAGGAGAAGCCGTCTGTCATTCCCCATGCTTTACGCCTGATGTCCTCAAGCACTGCGCAGCTGCCGCCCTCAAGGTGTTGACAGTCGATGTTGGCCCGAGCGGGTCCTTCGGTTCTTCTGCCCGGCATCACCCCTGACAATCAAGGATATTAGGGCTTTAGTGCCAGTGACTGCAACAGGATTGCACCATCACAGCCTCCCAGCATTCTTTCCCTGTGTTTATATTTTTATATGAGGTATGTTTAGGGTTAGGGTTAGTGTTAGGCAGGGGCGTAAATCCGTACCGAGGAGTGGGGGGGGATGATCGGCGATAGCCGGGGGTGAAATTAACCTTGGCTGCCGCAGGCAGTCCGCGTGCCGTAGGCATGCCAGTGCTAGGGGGGTCTGGGGCATGCCCCCCCCCCAGAAAATTTTGACATATTTAAGCCATTTTCCTGCAATCTGAGGCATACTGTGTGCCATATTCTCATGTCTGATGACACTATCTCAACCCTAGACTCAACCCTACAAGTTAGGATTCAAAACACTTTTCATGACTTTTCAGAGAGCGTACACAGTTAGGTTACTATAGTATTAAAACACAGGTAAGAATTGCAATTTCTCACAATTTCACGTGTTTTTGTATGTTTGCAACCATACGTTTTGGCTATTGTTTTTTTTCTCTTTTTTTTAAATCTCAGGGGGGATATTTGTACAGGCCATCCCCCCTCCTTCAAGAGCGGGGGAGATGCATTCCCCCATCTCCCCCCCCCCGGGATTTACGCCCCTGGTGTTAGGGTTAGGGTACACTTCTGTAGTAAAAGTCTGGTACACTTTATGTATACATATATATATGTACCTCGGGTACATATCTGTAGTACCTGATACGACAATGACCCCTTGAGCGCTAATATTATATATTTTCAGTTATCTCACTCTGCCGATATTATGTTTTCAGTTATCTCACACTGCTGTTATTAGATATTTCTATTTATCTCACTCTGCTCATATTAAATGTTTTCAGTTATCTCACTCTAGATCCGCTCATATTAAATGTTTTCAGTTATCTGATACTGGTGATATTCAGAGAGCAAATTAATTATCGATAAGAAACAAGAACGCGTTATTATTTATATATTATAAAACGCTGATACCAGGGGTTTGATGTATGGCTTCAGAACCACACTCAGCACGTCCTCCAGAATACGCTGCTGGAACAGTTTTGCTACATACAATGTATTATCTGTACCATGCCGTGGCCCTTTCTGTGAAAGTCAGTCAAAGTCTACTAGGTAAATAGTTCTGAATTTTACGCGTGGATGGTGAATCAACTCTGGATCACATATGTTAACGCAATGCCATTCGATTTTTATCTTGCCAGACTGCGCAGAGCTTTACAAGCACAACTACACAGAACCCGGCATTTATGTTATCTATCCGCAAAACTACCGAACCAAGGTACGTCCAACTCTCCGATCCATGTCAGCATTGAATACATGGCCATAGTTTAAGCAAATTCCTAGGGGGAAATGGCATAGGTTCTTGACTCATGCCGAGTGATGACGAAGGAGAAAACGCATCTTCCAGTCAACCTGCATAACGTGGCGAAGGTAATTCTGACAGCTAGACAAGGTTTTACGGATACCCACGTAAAGATTCCATTTATGGAGGATCTGGCATTTACAGGCTTTCGAATATACGCAAATTCCACGGAATCAAACCTGCACAAATTATTGATCTGTATGTGCGCTGGAAAAGTATTGCTGCATACAGAAAAATTGCTGTTAGCTGACCATTTAATTAAAATAGCCCGCGTAAACGCTGTCAACCACCGGTGGTCGGAGTTCAGAGTGCTTGAAAACATCTAAATATCAGATCTTGTCTTGTGATTAATTTTTTCAAAATACCACAAATGAGCATTTTTGGCGGGTTATATACAAGGAGTCAAGTGTGCCGAGCACCAATCTTAGAGATGGCAAAACATAAAAGATTCTCATGGGATTCCCATGAGTCCAAACTAGTCGCTTATTGCTAAAATGGCATCAACTTTTTAATTTTCCACCACTGAAATCCCAAGTGTTAACCTAATGCATACCTAATGGAACCGCACATCGTGGTGTGGATCCATGCCTCCCCATTTTCAAAAATATGTGATCGTAACATCTATCTTCAAAGGTGCAATGTCAGAACGGCTTCACGATAGTGCAGCAGCGCATTAAAGGCAAGGTGAACTTCCAAGTGGGCTGGAAGAGCTACCGAAACGGGTTCGGATCACCCAGTGGCGATTTCTGGGCCGGGCTCCAGACGATACACAATCTCGTTGGGGCAGGTAAGGACAGAGATGCGTCTCGTTTAGAATACTTAGCTCCAGATGAATTGGTCCATCTGTCGAAGGGAGGGAGAGGAAGAGAGGAGGAGAAGGACGAGGACGGGGAGGAGGAAAGAGGAGGAGAGAGAAAGAGCGAGAGCAACATCTGTCTGATAATTTTGTTACATCGGTCACGTTACACCCACTTACATGCGTTTTTCACGCGTCAATGCCAAATGTTTTGACTTTGTAGCACTTTACTACTTTTTTATTGCAACAATAATTAGCTATAGCTACCTATCAATCTACACGGATAGCTTAATTCCTGTTTTGTTAAGATGCACAAACAAAAAGTATATCACTCATACTGCTTTGATGTATACGTAATACACATAACTTTGATTTTGAGAAATCTCAGATTGCAAATCAGAACTACAGGGCAATCAGACATGACATGTAGCTCTGATTTCACAAGGCTCTAAGAATCTGGCCCAAAAAAATTACAGTTTTACCTGGGAACTACAGACACAGTCCAGATCTGCGTACAAAACTGTAGTCTACGTTATGATGAGTTCGTCAAACCGGTTCCAGGACTGATTGCCTGAAAATCTTCATTCTTATGAGTAGCCGCGGCCGAAAAATATTAATAGATTTTTGATTTAGGTAACACAAAGCTGCTCATCACGCTACAGGACTGGAATGGATTCACTGGTTTTGCACTGTACAATTACTTCAGCATTGGTCCAGAGTCTGACAGATACCGGCTGAGTGTGGCCGGATTCAGCGGAAGCGTAACCGACGACTTCAGCTATCACAATGGCATGGTAGGCATTACTAACAACACGCTACATGGACAGATGACTCGATTTGCCTTACAATCCAATGCTGTCTCACAAAATCCGTTCTCGTGTTACGACTTATGTAATGTTGTTACCTATGTAGTAACAACGTTGTGACGCGCGCGTATGTTCCCGGGTGATTCCGCATGTCTCGCCATTCCGACCAAAACACACCCCATTCAAACAAACACCACAGGTCTGATGAGGAAGGCTGTGTTTCAGATATTTGCCACCTGGGACAAGTCGGATTACAATGGCTGTGCCATCAACCAGAGAGCAGGCTGGTGGTACAACTACTGCGCTTACGCACTGCTCAACGGCAAATACTACAATGGAGGCTACTACCCTCCACCAGGGCAATTTTTCGACGGCATGTACTGGAAGGACTGGTTCGGGTATAACTACTCACTGAGATATATCAGCATGGCATTGATGAGTGGCTAATTAAGTGATTCCTCATAGCAGAGAAACCACCGTAACACAAGGCAGCTTATGGGCATTATTGGAGATAAACACAGCATTGTCAGGCCCGTAGGGAAGCGGGGTGCGACGGGTGCAACGGGTGCGCCCCCCCCCCAGGCTGCGAAGGTCCATTTTTTGTGGACCAACGATTTAAAAGAAAGTGAATTAATAAAAGACACACTACTGAAAGATTATCAGCAGCAAACCTCGTGAATAATACGGATTTACAACTTTATTTCTATTTTTGTTCTTTTTAAATAGTGACATTGACATTGTTATTCTCTAAAATTGTAAAATACATGTTACATAAAGTAGTCTGTTTGCCAAAAAATCCATTTTGAAGTCCATTTGAGAAATGTCCACGTTTTGAGGTTCGCTTTTGGCTGCCTGTTTTTCATATCATACTGCCTTCAAAACGCGCAAAATGCAGTCTCAGACAACCTAATTTTCACAATTTTCCGGGGGCATGCCCCTAGAGACTGGCGCCTCGGCGCTCGTTATGTCCGTATACCCGTATACACCTGCCTACGGGCCTGAATGTAGTGCACTCCTGCGAGAAACGTCGCCAACGCGTAATATTGAAGAACAATGTCTTTCACCATTACACGGTAAATTGTGTGCAGTCTCCTTACATCTGAATTTGATTTAGAGTTGATTTTTAATCTCAAAGCATCAGGAAACGTCCAACTGCATCTCAGTAAAGACCCATGATTATTATATAAGCTCATGATTATTTTGATTCTCCAGTGTAAGGTGGAGCCAATGTGCAATTTTTAAAATAACACAAATATATGCAGAATTAAAAGCAATGATTTCTCGTGTTTTTCCAATTGTTTTCATATGTTCTCGACCATTCTGATACTTACCTATACTACTTTTGTAACATCAAGTGTATACAATAAGAGTAACATATTAAAGCGCACTCGCACATATTTTTATGTCAACAAAACTAGCTCAATTTTTGCTTACGTGAGATGCTATCAATTCTGTCTCTACACTATGTGCCCTTTGTCTACATATCGAAATAGGTACGAGTCTATGAACCTTTGCATCATATGACTACATGCACTCGCTAGTTGAGAGCATTAGACAATTTCATTTTTGTCAATCTCAAGAACACAGGCGCAAGTTTGCTATTCATTTACTGTTTTATAGCCAAAAACAGCACATACTCATAATTTTTATTCTAAAGTAATCAGTAATATGTACACTGACAGGTGAGACCAAATTTTGGAGCGGGATAGCACGTACATAATGCAAACATTTGAGGAGCGCCAGGCCCAGACTAGTTTAATGTGGGATCAAACTTTGCAGTCTGTACGGAGTATTACATGTACTCAAAGTGCCAGTAAATACTAGACTGAGAGTGCCTGAGTACCTATATGCCAGACCATGACACTTTAATTAGCAACAAGATGTTTCCCATGTATTTTAGGATAACAACTAGCCGGGTACCCAGTATTGCTTGGGGAAAAATTCTTAAGAACAAAGAGAGAACAAATTCAGCCACATATATTGCCTTAATTCTAAGGATAGATACGTAACAGAGAAACAAACACTAAACAATATTCTGACAAAAACAGTTTGAACGATTCTATGATTCTGTGTAGCAAAAGCTTCTGGATACACACAACATTGTTATGAAATTGTACTAAGTTATTATGAATATGCCTCTCTGGCTGTGTCTGTGGCTGGCTCTGTGGCCTCGTCTCGCCCTTTAAATCACAATTATCATTGGGATTCGCTTTACCTTGTCAAAATAATACGAGAAAACTCTCATTGGTATTTGAAACTAGAAATGGCAGTTGTCGGCAACTACATGTATCCCCGCGATCTAGTATGAATGAAATATCTCTGAAGGACGTACAAGGTAAGTAAAGTGAAATAAGTCACAAAGATAAAGGTTGAAAATGTCACGTTTTTTACAATGTCTTAACAATTTTTTCGCAGAAATCCGCTATGTTGATTAGGGTTAAACTAAAAGTCGGAGAGATTATCTTCAAGTCCAGAGTAAAGGTCAAAGACAGGTGCCAATGCGCACTTCCTCTCCCAGACGTGTAAGTATACCAAGTCTGGTTGCGCTAGGTCAATTAGGAGCCGAGTTATAGAGCGGAAGGGAAATATGATCAATTTCAAAGTCAAGGTCAAATGAAGGTTGCAGTGGCCTGGTTTTGGTATGCAACACACCTTCTCCGCAAGATATGTAAGAATACCAAGTTTGCTCGCGCTAGGTCAATTAGGGGCCGAGTTATAGAGCGGAAGGGAAATATGATCAAGGTCAAGGTCAAGGTCAAGGTCGAATAAAGGTCGCAGTGGCCTGGTTTTGGTACGTGACACATCTTCTCCCCAAGGCCCAAGATGTGTAAGTATACCAAGTTTGGTCGCGCTAGGTCAATTAAGGGTCGAGTTATAGAGCAGAAGGGAAAGTGTCTGCGACGGTGGTGGCGAGCGACGGCTGGACAGACATGAAACCATATTATCCCCGCCGACGAACAATTACTGCGTATTAAGTATTGAGAATCCAATTGGTATCTGAAGAATTGACAATAACCAGCAGCATCTAGTGAGCGCACAATAGAAATCACAAAGGGGATATACTGGTAAAGACTCTTACTTATAAGCGAGTTTGTAGTTAGCCAAGAGGGGTTGTGTGACGTCACAGGTCACTGTGTCAATTGTGACAAAAATCGGTGAAATCTCGAGTGCGGCGTGCGCTCTCGGTGCAGTGCGTACATGTACATGTATTCTGTATTCCGTAAACTGAACCCGTCCATATAGCGCGATATCAGATCAGGGTATAAACACAGAGTTTCCGACTTCGTTCTTTCTTCTTCTTGCTTCTAATGCCATACTAATGCAGACTGCAGTACTTCACTGCTGCAACAACACTGTCGCACATTAATTCACCCTCACCACAGGCACTTGGAGCGTTTCAATAAAATATAATGCTAAATAAATACGAAATCTATTTACTACCAAAGGCAAAGTCTTATTCTTAATGTTTCTATACTCTCTTTCATCTATTTTAGTATTATTGCCGACAATTTCCTGTAAATGCCGTCCAAATGCTCATCTACAACAAACACTGGCTGCCGCCATTGCTGCCGCTGCACACTGACACATAACACTAACGCTGAGAGGGCCTATGTCCCCCAGGGTACTGCCGGAACGTACCCTGGTACCAGAGCATATAAACCAACGTGATTTATATGCTCTGCTGGTACTATCTAATATGCCGGACCGTACCTCGCCTACTCCACTAACAGGTCTATGGAGTCGCCTACGCCTACTCCCTAACCATATCAGATAGTTCCAGCAGTACCCTGGGGGAAATAGACTCTATGAGCAACACAAAAACATAAATACACGCGCGATATCGCAGAATGCGCTGCGAGCCATCTTAACATCAGAACTGATTTATATGCTCTGCTAACATGCATTGCACGCTACGACAACAACAGCCAGTTCGAAGGGTTCATACTTATTATTTCACTTGCTTTTAAATAGTAGTTTTTAGTGTATCCAAGGTGCTTAGGCCCCTAAAGGTAATCAACTAACAGTGTGGTAATTTTGGGGGTCCTAAACTAATAAATGGCGGAATGCATAGACAGAGTTAGTTTTTGTAGTAGTATAGATTTCGGACTAGCGACTAGACCACACAGGGCCGGATTTAGACATGTGGAGGCCCCTGGGTAGCCTTCAGTAGTTATCATTTTCTTGAAACGTTTCTAAACCAACAATAAGTGCTAAAGAAAATCGACGTTGAGATGGATGACGTTAGATTTTAAATGTTTGTCTGCCGATGTGTGCTGAGCAATGACAGGGAAACAACCATTTAGCTGTTTCTACCACTCACAAACAAAATACAATATGGCATGTGTATGTATGACGTAAAACGCACGCAATATGGTTTTGATTGATACGTGCGTGTCGTTCAGGTCAGCCTACATTTTTCCTTACAATTTTTTTTCATAAAATATGTGAAGGCCCCTGGGCAACTGCCCAGCTTGCCCAGTCCTAAATCCGGCCCTGAGACCACACTTACATGTATGCTTCTTCCTTACTTTGTAAACTCTCTGATTTCCCACGTGGATGTGGTAGACCCGTCACCGGTCGCACTCTTGTAGCCATTGTCCTAAAAGCGCCAATAAAAGGTCTTCATTAGGAGCTGGCATTGCATTTATTAACCTCATATAAACTATTGTCAGACAATGTACCCAGACAATGTAAGTGAATTATACAATAATATCGGTTACCGTTATGTACCATAGGCTACATATCGATTATATCAGGAGTGAATAATAATAAAGGAGTATGACTCACTCGAAACACAAGAAATACAACATTTCCATGCCCAAATTTACCCACGATTTATTACGTGAAATCCAGTAAAAATGACATCAGAATTAGCGCTGTACGTCCAACTTTTCCTCACACTTTACTGTGTATCGTTACCTCTTCTTATTATGTAGTTATAGCTTCGAACGTCAGACGCGGTTTTATTGATTGACATGGTCAAGGACCATGATTGGTCAAGGACCATGGATTGACATGGTCAAGTGACATGGTCCATTTCCACGGTATAGCGCCAGATCAAGAGGTGGCAGCTTGCTCTGAGACCAAGCGAAAACACGCGTGCTTCCATGTGTGAAATTAATACTAATAGCGGGCTCCGAACGCTGGCTCTAACCCGTGCCACGGCTACGAGATATAGATGTCGCATGGCATAGAGTTATACGTGTGAAATAACTCGTAAGAAAAAATAGTAAAATGTTAATGCAATAATAAGCTTTTTTTAAAGTTTTTTTTGTCATGTTTGATGAACATTGCTGGTTTTCGTTGGTTCATCGGCTGAAACACATTATGTTTATCTAGGCAATTGTTGCTATGGAAACATACACAGTCATAACCACAATCAGCTGTATAGGTTTTTTGCATGCGATCACGAAATTTCAATGAACCCCGTTCTGTCCCAATATAACCCTCACCAAAATATAAAAAAGGTTATATGGGACAGAATTATTTGGTCTACTTGGGGTGCCTCTCTTGTATTTCACAAGGCACAGATTCTTGATCTATGCCGATGCAAATGAGAAAATGTTGATGGAGACGTCAGATGTCCATGATGACAATTACAGAAACTTATTTATTTTGGTTTATTTACCATAATTTTTATTATTGAAACGTCCCAAGGCAAGTGTCTAATCGACGTACGGTAGTTCGCTGTTTGTAAACGAGAAATGACAATGTGTAATTACCTCCGCGCAACGGAGTTGCAGGGAGGTAATGTAATCGCTCTCGTGTGTTAGACCATCGTGTGTGTGTTCGTGTGTGTGTGTAGCCAGCAGCGAGCCAGCTGTTATACACACGTATACATGTTACACGCGTTGGCGCGATTGATTCAGCACCAGCTCGCCTTAGGGCATCCAGTCAGCAGCAGCCAGCAGCGAGCCAGCTGTTATACACATGTATACATGTTACACGCGTTGGCGCGATTGATTCAGCACCATCTCGCCTTAGGGCATCCAGTCAGCAGCAGCCAGCAGCGAGCCAGCTGTTATACACATGTATACATCATGTTACACGCTCGCAGAGGTATGCACTCTCTTTGAGTGCCCTCCGTCTAGTTGTGACCTGTGTCACGTGTGTGTGTGTGTGTGTGTGTGTGTGTGTGTGTGTGCTCGTGTGTCGGTTGTGTGTTGGTGTGAATCTCAACAGAGAGTAGGTATATCATGTGAGTGGAGTATACGTGAATAAAAAATGGTTAGTTTGTACATATCAAGTCTTCAGATATAGATATCTATAATAAACGAGTTTTATAGCTTATTAGTATGATCTTATAATTTGGTAACAATTTTACGGCAATACTTGAGTAATGGATTTGCCTTAACCGAGCTAATCGAAGACATAGTTGGTTGGCCAGGTGTGTTGAAGAGCATTGAAACACACAAACAAATGATCCGGTCGAGAGTATGCGACGGAGTGACAAAACTTCGCATTTATTAGCATAGCTCAAAATAAGTTCTGATAAAGATTACTACCCTATACAGAATGATAATAACCTAATTTTTAATATCGTGGAATTAGATTAGTAAGAAGGAGCATACGACAAGGCGGTAACGGTGATATTAACTTCACATAAATTGTTATTACACAAGGCAATCGTATTGATGTTTGATATTCAACACAATGTTATTGGTTAGAAAGAGATGTTCGGGTATTTTCCGGTGTCGTACTATTCTTTGGTTAAAGCGTCACTTGCCGGAAGTGCTGTGGTATTTGGGAGGTGACGTGCTGCAACTGTTTTTTGTAACAAGCAATGAACAATTAACACGATCCGACATATCGATGGATGAAGGAGGGGAGTGCCTCCGATGACCGTGAGGAAAACATGACGAACTCGCCTTGCAAGTCTGGCTCAGCTCACTTGCCAGCAAACTCGGCATCTGGCGGGCAGTACGGTGCCGAATTTGAGAATCATTCTTTTCGATCGCGCAAACAAGGTTAAGGGAACGAAAAGGCGAGGCCTGCGATCAGCTTGATTTGTCACCACAACAACGAAACTGATTGCGCAGTCGATTAAAGGATGTTCTTAGAGACGCTCCGTAAGGTAAAAACTACGAGAGCCCGTGGGACGCATCGCAATCAATCAATCGGCACCGCAGATAAAAAACTCCAATTGTTTTGCAGTAACACATGCATTCTAAAAAGTATATTTCATGGTCCTTGGTCTTAATAATTGCCAATTTTAAATGCTGAGGTCACGCTGAAACAAATTGATAATTAACAAAGTTTTTTCAATTGCTTCGCGTCAGACCATGTCCGGCCTGCAGAAAACTAGATAGGCTAACAGATCTGGGTCCCTGCCCTGGTGGCCCCCATTGACCTTTGAGCTGTGACCTCCATTTTGCGGCACAGTGATGGCTTGTTCTACCATGCCATCCGCTCAGCTTCCAAGAAACGGTATTGCCTAGGGTTTAGAATACCGGATGTATGAGACAATCGCGGATGTACACGGATGTAATATACAATCCGTCGCACAGCCTGGTCGGGCTAAACCATGATGCCTATACACCGATCTATCACGAGGCCTAGATCAAGCCGTTTGCAGATTTGTGCCGCAATTCTGCCATTTCGGCTCCGCTACTACCTTACAGTTTAAGGAGTGAATGTTCGCCTTTCTTTTACAACCTTCTTTGACCTTTGACCTTGACGGCCCCCAGTTTTTAACATCCCAACCTCGTTTTTGACGACCCCCCCCCCCGATGTGCCGAATATCGATCGTGGACCGTACGTCCGAGCGCTTAAAGATTTGTGCCAACTGTTGGACTCACGGACGGACGGACGGACGGAGCGATCTATGCGATTCCTACAAGCTGCATCTGACTATACGTCAGATGAGCTAAAAACTAGGGTCCTCCAGAAATGCGGCGAAATAATGTAAGATCTCGCATGGTAACTAAACTTGAATGCTCTGGAACGAGATATTCTCAAAAATGGCGATGCCTGGAACGAAGTTTTATGGGTTACGGGTTGGAAAATGAGGGGCTGCTCCGCGGCATATCCCTACCATGCGATATATATGGAGTGGCGCCCCCCCCCGACCCAGACGACGCCCTTAAGGCTCAACAATGCAATGGTCTTATGCATGTGCACGACTCATGTTAGACAGGTAGACTGGAACAGGATGTAATTTCAGATTTTAAGTTGCCCATCCAGGAGAAAAGATAAAAACTTGGATATAATAAAAAAATAAAATGACAATATACTCTTGAGCTGGCTGGTCTGGTATTACTATTAATACTGATCAACTTAGAAGGTGTTTATATCAGCGCTCTAAGAATTTGGAATGTGTCAAATTTTAATATGACAATGTGCCTATTCAAATTCAAGACTTCAAAACATACAGATGTGGCTAGTGAAAGTAATAAATGGCAGATTGAAATCGGGTTAGTTTTTCATAATTATGTACTGATATTTATACCGCAATTTTGTAAATAATGTATTATTGAACTTTATCATACTCAAATTAATATATATTTTAGATATTTAGGTCAAAAACATCTAGCTTTAGCTACATTCCCTCTTTGAAATTTCAAATTGACGCTTTTACCATGATCAAGAAATTGGTTGCTTTTCAACCAAGATCGTAGAGTGCGTAGGCAAACAGATAAACCACTTCTCTCAATAATAGGCGTAGTAGGTCAAATGGGTCGCCACAACCGCCCAATTTTAGGAGCCAGTTCACACGAAGTTCCCGGATGGCTGCTGTTATGCTGGCTACGTGGCAACTGTCTGGCTGTGTGCTGTTCAGCTTCAGCTTACTGTTCTGCTGGTAAATTGCTCGATTGTCAGGTAAGCCCGACTGATCCTTCCTTACAGGTTCCCCATAGATCGGAAAGCGTGAGAAAACATTTCTTTTCTTGGTCGAAATCCATCGTGAAAGAGTTTTGTGGGGCAATCTTTGTTGATAACTTTAGTATGGTCAGTGGCAGTGTTGTTTTGTGCACAGGGCGCTACGTGCGGTGTAACTTCACTACTTGTGTGTTTGCAGATGAGATTTAAATGGCATTGTACAGCAATTATCGACAATAATAGGCGAAATAGAGTAGACGAACATTAATACTTTGATAGTAGAAGATCATTTAGATGTTAATTACCATTATTTTGTTTTGAGACAGGTCTCAATGATATGCCTGTGCGCACTGTACGACTGTCTGGACACTACACCACTGCGCCTGTTACATCTACTACATAAGTCACCATCCGATTATGAACTCATTGTTAGATTTTTTGTACACTGAATTGAGAGATTTTTGATACACGCTATTGGCATAAAAATATTATACTATTACATTATCTTATACATATATATATATATATATTAACGCATGTTTACATATTATTTCTATGTATTCAAATCAGACGCCGGAGCGGTTTTGCTTCCTAAAATGGTTCGGACGTTGGGCGCTCCATTACGTACTACACGTCATTGCGCGTGATTTCGCATAGGTTTGGTTTATCTTGTGCACTCCTACGATCTTTGCTTTCAACAGCCTGGAAATGCAGGAAATGCCATTTCCAGGCTCTACATTTCCAAAAATTTCTGGGGGAGTACCCCAGACATATTTCTGCAGTGGCACTTTTTGGGAGCCCACTACGGCCCTGATTGGGTTTAAAGGGTTGGGGTATTACCATGAACCTAATGTATGTGTAGGTATGCTATGTATAAAGTCCATAAGCATGATACGGCCAAGTAGAGATTTAAAAATAACATTGTGCAAAGGTTAGAAGTGAGCATGTCAATGACCAGCTAGTGATTCTTACAAGCTTTCTCAATACCTGGTCAATTAGCCAGTAAACATAGTAAAGTGATTATCAGAGATATCGCCCATGACATATTTAAGCATAAATGTATGAGCATAGCATTGCAATACTTTAAAATGTCACATGGAAGCACTTTCCCATTCTCAAAATACAGAAAAAGAGCGGTGGACAAATATATAGCATTTGGTGCTAATTCAGTTATTTCATTTGTTCTCATGGGTCAAATATTGTCATTACCTAGTTCATCCTGATAAAACCATCACTGTTGTCTTCTTAGGTGTTATATGTATCGTATCAAACAGTGTGTAAATGTAGAATATTATATCGTTGCAGTGAGGAATCGAAAAAGAGGATCTTAGTTATTTTAGAAGAGGTGAACAAATTGTCTGATGTAGAAAAGCTGCTTCTATATCTCAAATTGCCAAAGGGGACCAATCAGCACCAGTAAGTATATAGATATCAAGAGTACATAATAGAGTATAGTATGTACTCTATTATGTACTCTTGATAGATATCTATTTATTTTGTATATATATAATATATATATATACAGTCCGACCT